CACACACACACACACACACACACACACACATGTTACTCCTCAAAGCCGGAGAGCTTCGCTGAAATGATATATTAAAAACAACAAAAGCATGCTGAGAAAACAATCTTGCAGTGATGAGCCTCTTCAAAGTCATTCTGAGCCACCACTTCTCTCTCCACCATCCCATCACTGCTCTGATTCTTCCTCCCTGTAGGAAACATCCCTCCTGGTGTTAGCCAAGAGGCGTACCAGTGGTTCCACACCGTCGACACGGACCACAGCGGCTTCATCAACCTAAAGGAGCTGAAGCAGGCACTCGTCAACTCCAACTGGTCTGCTTTCAATGACGAGACCTGCCTCATGATGATCAGTAAGTGCTGCAGCTGCGGCCAAATGAAAAGCTCAACGGTGCGAGTGGGAGGTAGCTCCATGTTGTTGAATTGGTTATGAATAAATGCCTTAGTGTCTACAGCAAAATGGATAAGAAATAAATGGATAAAAGAGTGGCGGGAAAAGAAAGTAGGTTGGCTTTATAAGTATGTGGCCCTCTAAATTTCACAAACTTAGATTACATTTCTAAAAGAAGTTCGGGCAGCCAAGAGGAGTCAGCCTAAATCTGACGTGTCCGTTTGGGTACCTGTTAGTTGCACTAGTATCCCGACATTCCAGATGTGTTTGTCAGGCAGTGACTAATATGTGCCATTATCATAATGAGAACTGAGAGACTCCTGTGTGCTACTTTTATATAATACAAGGAGAAGAGTCATGATGATGGACAGAGGGCTCGCTCGATACATGGCCCAGAATTGCACCTCACATTGTTTGGCTAAAAACTGTCCTGTGCTTTGTTTTTCCTTTAGACATGTTTGACAAGACGCGGTCCGGTCGAATGGACGTATTTGGCTTCTCAGCACTGTGGGAATTCATGCAGCGCTGGAGGGCGCTCTTTCAGCAGTACGACAGAGACCGCTCAGGCTGTATCAGTGGCACGGAGTTACACCAAGGTAGCCCCCGTTTGTGTGTGTGAAAGCTTGATCTGAAGCCTGAAATAAAACCTTTCAGCAGATAACAACAATGATCTCCCCGTCTTGTCTGTCCGTAGCCCTCGCTCAGATGGGCTACAACCTGAGTCCGCAGTTTTCCGAGACGCTGGTGCGCCGCTTCACCGTGCCGCGCGGGCGACCCGGCATCCAGCTGGACCGCTTCATCCAGGTGTGCACCCAGCTCCAGAGCATGACGCAGGTCTTCAGGGAGAAAGACACGACCATGTCGGGTAACATCCGCCTCAACTACGAGGATTTCCTCTCCGGGGCCGTCACCAGGCTCATGTGAGCCGCCGCTCCACCGGCAATCCGTCTGCACTGTGGATTCATCGTATCATTCCGTGTTCAATTCATGTTTTGCTCACGTTTTCAGTGCTCTGCCATAAGTGCCTCCATCTGAATGTGTGCAGTATATCAGCCGGAACACATCATTCCGTGGCTTGTTGCTGTAAGGAGGTAAAAAGCCTTACATCAAAGTTCATTGGCTGTTAAAAAAAGGCAGCTAAAGCCTTTACTGGATGGCTTAACTTTCACCAGGCGCAAGTGTGAAAGTGATTGTTTTACAGGAGACTGATGCTATAGAGTGCCAGTTATATTTTTACCATAAACTGCAAACGAGGCCTTGTTTACACATGTGTGATTTTGACATTCATACCTGATGAATTTGCTCATATGCAGACATTAACCGGTTCCTGTGCCATTAGAATGCCATCAGGAATATTCAGCATCTCCAGAGGGTGTTTCCATGCAATGGTTGCACATTGTATTGAACATTGCTTTATATTGTACTGTGTATAATTAGCCAAAATACAGCCACTTTTTCTAATATTTCAATTATTCTACTCCTCGCGGTTAGTGGGGTGTTGCTGTTAAAGCTCTGTAACAAAGTTGTCTGCTACATTGCACCCCTGTAAGCCAGTATCAACCAGAAATAAAAACAATTATCTGTGGGGGGGGGGGGACTCCCAAAAGCATTAATAATTGTTCCTTGTTATGTTTTCCGCTTTCCAATCAATGAAATGGATCTTCAGTGGTTGTCGGGCCGGTGCTTTAATTGATAAAACACTCCACTGAGGTGGTCTGAAATCAGATAACATCATGGTTCTTAATGCCAAAAACAAATAAATGCTTTTCTATCACGTTTTGATGTATTCATGTTCTTCACACAAATGAAAAAAATACAGTTCCTACACTTTGAAGAAGCTGCATGCTGTCGTGTTCACTCTGGATTTGAAAGGCAAGTGTTGTGTAAATGCAGCAGTAAACACTTTACGCAAATCTCTGTGCGCTTGGCTGAAGTTTTTTTTTCTGGTCTGAAAACAGAGAAAACCGAATCCTTAAATGGAGGTAAATCACTTCAAAATGTATGTGTTATCCAGCAGAAGTGCAGTTGTAGATCCAGACCCTATACTCGTCACCTTTGCCCTCAAAGTGTCCCAAATCAGATGCTCATTTCTCCTTTTGGCAGATTGGCCGCACAAAAGAGCCTCTGTCTTCCTCCTTCCACATCTGGCGCTTCTTTCCCTCCCCATCTGTTACTCTGCTTCATCACAGTCTGTGTCAAGAGTCCTCCTGCTCCTCCTCGTCTCTTTCCAAATCAGAGGCAATCCATCAAACTCCCCTCGTGCATCGTTTTCTCTCATATCACATCCGTCTAGTCCTCGCCCCTCGGCCTCCATCTTCATCTAAGGCTAAACTTAGCTGTCCCACGTCCTTAAGCACATTTTCGTGTCACATCCTCCCTGCCTATCTGACACATCGCCTGAACGTGGATGTGGTTCAGTGTCTGGACCGCTTTCAAAACCATTTGAGTTTGGGGACTTACGAGCGTGACCAAAGGTGCACCATGCTTGAAGTTTTCAGCAGCCTTTTTTTCTGGCTTATGTGATTCAGCGGTGATTCAACCTAAATCCTGATTGTCATTTCCTGTGTAATGAGGGAATATCCCACCACTGACCATGCCTGACATCTGTAATTACCTTGGGGCGAATAGCAGGTCTGCGGTGCTTCAGTTAGCGAGGACGCTATACGCTCCACTCTGTCAGCCCCACTTTGTGATTTGGAGTGATAAAATGGTTATATTTTTTGGCTAGTGCAGCTCTAAATATCATTCACTAATAAGCAGGAGCTGATGAAACAATCCTGGCACTGCTAATATTGCTGGTGAAGCAGAACTGGCACAAGTAATGTTGTTTTTTCCCGCAGGGGATGAGCACATTTCCACTTTATCTGAAAGGATTTATCAAATGCCAGTTTTGGCAACTAGGAGATGGACAGCAGAGAGGGAGGAACTGCTTAAAAGAATCATTTTGAAGCGTGACGCATAATCACCCACACAGAATCCTGTTAATCACAATCATTTCAGCAGTCTTTAGAAGTAATGAGAACATTAAAACAAATTTGGATTTAGCTGCATTTTCTTAAAAAACTTTCTCCCTCTGCACAAATGACCAATGAGTCGCTCCACAACAGGCTGCATTCCAATCTCTAGATCAGCCCTGCACCCTGCACACTGCATGGCACAGCTTTGTGGAAAACTTTTGGGCCTGCGAGCTGAAATATCAGTGTCATCAATCATATGGAGCCTTAGAAAGAACATTTACTGATTCACTTACCCAGAAACGTACCCCCCATCCCCCTATAGTCAATGCTGCAATTTATGGTTTCCCACCGGGTGGCTGAAACGTACACAATTTCTCTGCATCCCTCATAAGCAGTTCAAGTAAACAGAAGCAAAACTTCTTCAAGAGTTTGTGTTTTTAGACAGTTTACCAAGCCTCTAAAAGCGTCTGTTCTTTAAATGTCAAACTGTGCTTTTGAACTAAAAGAAAAGTGTCATGACACTTGAGGGGTTTGTCATCCGAGAGGATTTTCTGCAAGAATGCCAGAGATGTTTGAACACCAAAAGAGATTGCATTTCTATGGCTTCCAGGAAGGGATAAACATGCATATATAGGCTATGTTGTGTAAGAAAGAGCACAGCTCCCTCGACTGTACAGCCACAAAGCACATGGGGTTCTTTGATTATTAAGCATGTGTTCGTTCCGATGAGACATAATTGAATCAAATGTAATTCATTATTGTGGAGAAATAGTTTCAGTTGTAAAAGGATGAACAAAAAAGTTGTAATACGTTTTTATTCACATACTGTAACCCTATTAGTGGATCACTAGCCTCTAATTTAATTTTCTGTTGAAGTGAGTCCCCATTTTAGTGATCTTAAATTGAATATATGTATTTTATATCACTGTATAGAAGGGGTTGCCTAGTGTTGTACATAGATAAAGTTAATTCACTTTGTGTTTTTCTAAAACAAATAATTTAAATCGATGTTTCGGCCCTCCTCATCTCAACGTAGTGCGCTATTGTCACCACTTAGCGGTGCTAATGCGCCGAGAAAACACGTTGCACCAAAGCGCGGCTCGTCAGCCAATGAAATCCAACCAGGAAGTCGACAGACGGATATTGCGTATTTCCGCTGCTGTACCGAAGTGCAAACGGTAAAGGTGAGTGGAGACAAATGAACTAATGCCTTTTATCACAATAATACAGAGACAAAACTGCACACGGACTTGTTTCTAGTGACGGTAGCTGGTGCAGGTTTAGCTGTAGAGTGTCTGTCACTGCGCGGATTGTAACCTCACGTGTCACTTCGCGTTATTTATAGTTAGCGGTTCATAATATGACTTTCACGCAGTAACTTACACAAGTCAACATGTATCGATAGACCTGACAAAATGAAACATGAACGCATGTTTTCAGATGCTCTGTCCAGGTTGGTACCAGCCCTGTTCTGGTTGGCAGGCGCGCGCACCAAACTCCAAATCATTATCAAATGTGTAATGATACGAGTATCCTTTGACAGAAGGTAACGTTGCGAGCTAGTTACATTAACGTTGATGCACTGGTTCATGTTACCCAACACAAATCATACGTTTGTCTGGATACAGTAACGTTACACCCTGTTTCAAAATGTGATATAAAGTTTACACTTTTTCTCCTTTATGTTTCAGTAACCGATTGCAACATTATTAAATAATGTACTAGTACTCTCTTATTGGCAATAGTAGCTACATAAATGCTCTTTTATGTATACATGGCTCTTCACTTTCCCCTCATACTACATACTGTAATCAATGGTTAATGTACGCTAAAACGCACTCACAACTTCCTCTTTTATTTATCCCTATGGAGGAGCCGAAGCGGAGTGCAGTCATGTGGCCTCTATTTTGGACAGCGGCACGGACCTATGCCCCTTATGTCACCTTCCCTGTGGCCTTCGTGGTGGGAGGCGTAGGCTACCACCTGGAGTGGTTTATCGGGAGGACCCCGAAAGGCAGAGAGGAGAAGAGCATCCTGGAGCTGAGGGAGGATAGAAAGCTGCAAGAACAAGAGGGCGTGGACAGCACCCAGGTGCTTAGCCTGAAAGAGAAACTGGAGTTCGCACCTAGAGCCGCTCTGAACAGGAACCGACCCGAGAAGAGCTAACCCGGGTCGGTGTGAGAGACATGCATTTACCCTCTCTCAGCAGCAGTGCATTGGGGGCCAAGGAGGGCAAAAACACCCATTCTTACCTCAGCCATACATCCTCACTCATGCACCAGCTTGCCTGTGTAAATGAAACACAGCTGTATGTGATTCTTTGACCTTCTCCTTGATGTCACACAAGCCTGTTCATGCATTGATCAATACCTAAAGTAAGATACTCTAATTAAAACGCATGAAATATTGAGCCTCTGGGTGTCCAGGCTTTGAACTGATGACAGGGTTTGGTGGAAACTGTTCTTTGTCTGTTTTCTGTACATCTAGTTGTGTAATTATCACACACATGTTATTGTGTCTCTGCTGTTTAAATCACATGCAAATGATGCTCGAGATGTCAAAGATGGAAATCATTTTCACATTCCGAGCCTGTCGGGGGGGGGGGGGAAAAAGTGCTTCAACTTTTGAATCATTTCTGTATGTTTTTAGAAAGGACTGATTGTGAACATATAAGCGAAGGAAGAGCAGGGAGACGGGTCTTTGTTGTAGTTCTTTTTGTCTCATGTAACCGTTTTGATGGTATGTGACAAAATAAGCCAACTATGTGGGAGGTCTCAGGATGTTTAAGCTGCTTATAGTCCTATTGTCTGGAACATCTGCACAATACTTTCATTTTAGGAAGTCTGGATGGTTTGCGCATCTCACGTTGTAATTATGTGTCACTGAAAAAAGAAATATGATGAATAAAGGAATGTTTGCTGAAAATGCTTGGATGATTCTTTATCACCAGTTCCTGCTACTGATTTTTTTCTAACAAAGGAATTAAATGTTTGAATTTTATATCACTTCAGGGCCGAACAAATGTATGATCCCACTTGGATATGAAACAATACTGCTGCCAAGGACAGGAAGTAACATTAAAGTCAAAGGAAGGAAGTAATGATTGCTGATTCAGCTTCGAGAAGGAAATTGTTTTCGAGGGAACGCGCGCGGCAAAGCGATGAATTCTGCCTCGGGTTTGATGGTAGAGTCTGGATTTTTCAGTTCTTCAAATTTGTTTTTACTTTAAGTATATACTGCATCCATCCTTACACGGGGCATGTAGTATTCATTAATTTGGCACGCACTACTTTCACATAACATGGCACCTTGAACTTTGACCCTCTTGCACAGAGGACTTACGGACTTTGAGGCATGCTCCCGTAAAGTCCGTGAGAGTTTAGGGCTGTCCCAATGTCAAATCGTCGAGCGTTTGAGGGTTCTCTCGCAGACATTTTCAGTACTTTTTGAACACTTTCCCTCAGTCAGCATCAGAGGTAGACTTTGCCCAAGGGAATTACCCACAATTCATTGCAATGTGACATTAAACACGGGGTAACCAGTGGAAGCATGAGACGTAAAAAAGGTAATAAAGAGGACGGCACGTAGGTGTTCAGCCTGGCACATCACACTAACTCAGAAACATTAAGGATTAAAGATGGAACATAAAAAGATCAGAGGAATGGAAGCAGAGACTATATTACACAGTTTATTCATTAACTATTCATTTCATTTAGTTATTAAAGCCGTTTTGACAAAAACAAGTAAATAGATTATTTGACAAATAACTCATCTCGAGTGGCAAAAGCCTGGAAGACGTTCAACTCGGGGAGTAAAAAGATATAAAATAAATACCCACAATTGTACATAACATGATGTGTCACAGCAAAGTGCTGCTGGCCCCTTCATATTGACCATTGCAGGCCCCCGCAGCCTCTCACACTCAACCTTTTAACAGGTGATGTCGGTTAAGTCCCTGAGGGTTCAGGGTTCAAGGCTTTAGGGGGGACTTTATGATTGAACCCGTTAGTCAGAGTGAGGAATTTGGGATTGGGAATCCTGATGTCCATGTATCTATTACCCCAGTGCATGCTGGGAGGCCTCTCAGCCCTCTATACTTATGTAAGCGCAGCACTCAGCCAATCATATGACTGCTGACTCCCAACTCTCTACACATGTCGCCTTCATTTCAAAATAAGAGAGCACTGTTCTAAGATTAACCAATCAATCCTTTAACTGCATTCAAACAACCCAGTTAGCTGGATGAGAGTGAACAGGCTCATTTTGGGCCGATGAAAGTGATTAGTTAGACCGTGTCTGAAGAACAGGGCCTAAAGCAGCATTGCTGATAGATGAAGCTGTCAGCGGATAAGCATGTTACTCTCCATCAGCCACTGCAGAAAAATACTCGGTTGCACAGTATTAGGACACAGATCACAGTTGGTCCTGCTGCTGTCATTGCTGTTAATTTTGAAATGCATCACCAAAGAGCTCCCTGTACAATATTAGACATTTTTACGTGAAAACATTCCTTTTGATACATGCATGAGCATAACAACATGAGGCTAGAATTCACTTTATCCTTTTAAGGGCAGCTTTCTTCTCTTTATCTCACAATACACCAGTAACGTCACATATTTATAAAGTAGTCCAACAAAAACAATGATTCACTGCTGCACCCTGGTGATTTTTCCTGTTTTTTTAGAATAATATAGTGTTGAAGGAATACGTAGGAAGACTTTGGTGATGTTGCCTGTACCCAACACAAGCTTTGATCTCCGTGTGTAGGCAGAAAGTGGGAAAAGTTTCCTCATATTCAATCAAGAAAACCTTTATTATCCTCATTACTAAGACAAGAGGGGTGATGTGGTCAGGGAACAAAGAATTTAATAAGAATCCACCATCGATTCAAGACCAAGTAACTGGTGTCGTAAAACGCTACAAAATGAGAAAACTTTATGAAGCTTTTTAAATCCGACGCGTGGCAGCTCACATGCACTTAGAGTGAACTCCAACAATTATTTTGTTGAAACTTTTACTCCAGTCCCACGGTCTTTCCAGCGTTAAATAATGAATCAGAGAGGTCCATCTCTCCGTACCCCAGCAGCTCTCTTAATGGATGATAACCTTTCCAGAGTGCCAGGATATGTTCCGCTACGTTACCCTGCCAGCTAGTGAAATGGGGAAAGATTATGAGGCCCAGATACATTGGCACCGGAGTGGTGAATGCTGTGCTATCGGCAGTCATCAGCTTGTACTCCCTTCTTGAGTTTGCTATCAGTGGAATGATCCGCTCCACTGCTGTGTTGTGCATGTTCGGAGAGTCAATTAATTCAAGCAGGTGGAAGTTTCCATTTGAAACTAGCAAGGATGGAGAAGTGGAGGGAAAGTTAAATTATACTGATAGAGTTAATAACAAGGAGCGTGGTGTGTTTAGGTGTGTTTAGTGTGTGTTTAGTGTGTGTGTGTGTGTGTGTGTGTGTCCGCCATGGGAACAACCAGAGGACAGGTTGGTCGTCTAACAATGTCCCACAACTACACAGTACTGTGGGAACCGAGCACCGAGGCTCTTGGGAAGGGAGGAGGATGTTGGAGGTTCTCCATTGTTCTTGCTGGATGATAATGGGTGCGGGTGATGCTGGCTGTTCATTTTTTTTAAGGAGGTCCAGCCCAACATCCTGCAGGGACAGGCCGGAGACGGTGTTCCCTTTGCTTCATGAACAATAGAATTATCTGCATGCTGGAAGGGCACCACGTTCCCCATTAAACAACCCCCCCCCCGCCCAACACACACAAACACACACAGAATCCAGGATTCCAGGTATTGCTGTATATCAAATTTATACACAGACAAGAAGCTTGCCATAAATATGTAAAGGGACTCACACAGAGGTGAAGGTAAACACATTTTGAGATATTCTTTTTCACATGAGCATTTAAAGGATGAAAAATGATCCCAAAACTTCTCTGACCGCCAGATGCACAATAGAGTTGGATTAACTAAATTGGTTGACATTAGATATTGCTCAAAAATCTGATGTAAATCATACTTTGGGTTTTGGTTGTCCAATGACTAAATGTTCCCATCCTGTAAAAAAAATTGAAACTTAATAATCATCCATAGAAAATACTTTGTCCGTCTTTCATTATTTCTAAAAGATAATCATGATGGTTGCATTGTCCAAGTATTAAACCTTAAAGCTGCAGCAATTGTTTTTTTGGGGGGTTATTTGTTGCATGTTAACAAACAGTTGCCTATTTACGCTGCCAACCGACACTGGGCAACATTAATATTCCTCTTAAGGTTGTGTTTCTGGCCATTATTCACTCTACTTTTACCTATTTTGGTCTCCGCCGATTCTTACTCGTTTAGCTACATGGTCCATAAGTTGCGACTTTGTCGTTTTTGTTCTGTACAGGTAGCATACCATCGGTTTTGCAGAGCATATCAACTAAAAACAGCTGGACTTGACGAGAGCAGTGAGAGTGAACCAAAACTGTAGAGTTGTGAGACGTAAAACCAAAACAATGAGCTGAAAGACGCTAAAACTCTCTATAGAGCTGAGGAGGACTCTAGAGTTGGACGATAATTGATAATTCAATTTGACAACCAACAGCTGAAGAGAGACACAAGTAGCCCTGGTTCATGCCCCGCCCCACCTCACACACACACACACACACACACACACACACAGACACACACACACACACACACACACACACACACTCTCTCTCTCTGTGCGAGCTATAAATGGTACCAGCCCTCTCAATTGACTCCAGCCGCACAGCCGGCACTTTGCCCATTTCCCTCATCCTTCACTGGTCTCTGATGTGGCGGCCGTGACATCGGAAAAACAAAACACGGGGGAGCTCGGACAAAACAATGCAACAATGCCCACCGCAGTCCAATAGTCAGGGTGAACAATCCCAAACTACCAATCCCTTGGGGAGAAACAATACTGGAACAGGAAACACCCACTTCCTTTGCAGAGTTTAAATTTAGTTACTGCTGAGAGCATTTTTGTCTTGTTTTGTCCAGCAGCACAAATGGCCAAATTAAGGACTGGGTGCTTGGACGTGACATTGTTATGGATACGGCGAAAGCAGTGAGTCGGTATTGTGTGTACGTACGTTCAGTGAAACAAAAGGAGTTGGCACACACACCGCTGTATGTCTTTAACACACACACACACACACACACACACACACACACACTACAACATAAACACAAAACCCCTAAAAAAGTAGTCTTTGCTGTGCGAGGTACATTATTTCCAATTACGGGCAAATAAAGAGATCTTGCACAACCTCATTCCCCCCGTAGCTTGCTATTTTCAGCCGTGCTGGTCCCTTGTATATACTATATTTGTGTGTGTGTGTGTGTGTGTGTGTGTGTGTGTGTGTGTGTGTGAAAGTCTGAGTTTTGTGACGTGAGGTCAAGCTGATCTTTCCATACTTCTTGAGTGTATGTTTGTGTATGTGAGTGCCTTCTCTGCCTGTTCAGGGTGTTTCCTCGATATAGTACAGCTGGCAGGAACTATCCGAGCAACCCATTTTTGGAAAGGCCTGGCACATAGGTGGGCGACCAGAGTCTGGTGCAAAGCACGACTGTAAGATCTTCCCTAAAGGAGAGTTGCCTCTGGGCATAACAGTTGGCCTTTTGTGAACTGCTGGAGCCCTGAGGCTGTGTAACAGCACTTTGAAGTGCTTCACAGTCTAAAAGCTTGTGTACTGTAGTGTGTGCGTGTGTGTGTGTGTATATGTGTGTGTACACTCATTCACCAAAGCTGAGACATTGCCTTTCTTTGTGTGTGATCAGCGCCATGTGGATTCACCAGCGGAATGAGGAAATGCATCAGCAGGGACTTCAACAATGTCAGGAAATGGCAGCTGATCCCAGAGGACGCATGTATGGCCGTTAAGGATGACCTGTCGCACAAATTGGGGTCTTCCCAGCCAATGACTCCCACTTTTATTAACCCCAGCTGTACACAAACAAATAATCTCCATTGTGACGTTTTTATTGGAACGTCCTTCTGCAAGCAGTGTGTGTCTGATTTGATTGCCCTGACTTTGGGAAATAGTCTAGACGTGAATATTAGGTAATCAAAGCCAATGAATGTGGGAAGATTTTACTAATTTCCCAACAGACATTAAAACATCACTTTCACATGCAATGTCAGGGGGCCATTTCTCTGGCGGGTATAGGCATTGACTGTGCAGAAGAAAAAAAAATGTCTGCTGGAGCAACAAATAACCTGCAATGTTGTTTTCATCTCGGAGAGTTGTATTTGCTTCACTGAACAGGAGGCGAGAGTTTACTCTGTGGAAAGAATAGAGCAGGGCGTCGAGCTTCTCCGGCTTGATCGGCTGTAAGGAAGATGGATATAAAAGGGAGCTCCGCTGTTCCGCTGCTGGCTTTGGTTGGCATCAGAGGGCCGATATGGGTCGCCCCGTGCAAATCTGTTCCGTGACCCCCTGGCTTTTTGTGAAAACACACACATGAACAATCGCATGGACACGTGCGCACAAGTGCACACACCCACCTGCACTAAGATAACAAGACTGCACTGGAATGCCAGCCAAGTTCTTGTGAGCAGACATTGAACTGGGCAGCTTCAGCCGGCTCTGTTTGTATTGTTCTCTCAACAGTATCTGCCAATTCATCCTTGACGGAGGGGAGAGGCTGCCCACAGTAAAAACACATTCCACTCCGACGACAGAGAAACTGTTTTCTTCTTCTTATTATTATTATATCCTTTATAATTTCTGTCTCTCAGCTGCTTGTTGGAGTTATTGCTTGGCCTCGCACAGTTTAAGCAGTTTGTTTTATGAGAACCTGTCTCACTTGAATTTCCCATAAGCCCCCTTTCCTGCCATAGATAACCGCTTATCTTCATGGAGACAGTTTGGTGAATTGCTGGAAATGTGTGCCGTATTGCAGATGCTGCCGCCGCGGCCCTGAAAAGACATATGGCTGCATTCATTAGGGCGCTTGGGCGAGCACCTTTGTTGAAGGTGCTGGATTTTATCAATTGCTCTCCACGAAAACAGCGTTAACAGGCAGGACTCCCCAGTGGATACTAAAGAGGTTCAGCATAAAGTGCTGCTCCACCTTGTATGAACTTTTACCAGCATATAATTGATGCTTTTCTTCCCCGTACAGCCAGCTACGGATTTCAAAACAGCCATTAAATCAAAATGATTTTTACGCTGATGATAACCTGTAAATCTCATCCTCTTCTCCATACTTCCATCTTTCTGTTATTGCCAAAGAGCTTTCCCTTGGGTGATTTAGTACCTCCGTATTGTGACAGTATTTGGATAGAGTTTGGACACAGAAGTTGGACAGAGAAGCAATACACACTTCAGAGACACAATCTTCACACAGAAATCTGAGCCCTATATTCTCAAAGGAAAAGGAAATCAAAGTATTCTGTACACAACAGATTAACTTGTGTGGAATGTAGTCTCTGTAGCATCTCTGGTAAATGTGTTATGTGATATGATATATTAAAATGATACCATAATTTGACAATGTCATTATTAATTTATACTTTTAAACTTTATTTTCCACAAAAAATAAATATAAACACAGGTATTTCTTCATAATACTTTAAACATTAAATACAGTTTTCACATAATTCACAAGTCATTTCATTTAATGAAGTCTGCACATTTCTGTACCACTTTACGTCCATTCAATATGCATTCACTAATGCATCTTTTGAGTTCTCTCTCAAGCTCTCGGAAAAATGTTTCATTTTCATACTGGATGCATGTCGTCGCTCCTCCATTAGTCAGCTCTCATGAACTAGTATGCGGTGGTCCTCTCTCTCTCTCTCTCTGTCCCTCCTTCCTCATTGTTAAATTATTCTGGTTACCGGCAACGATCAGTCATTTACAATCCCAGAATTCCTCTGGTTTGGCTCTCCTTCTCTTTACCCATGTCTTCCCCCAGCCCACATCCCCCAACTTGAGTGACCAAATCTTACTGGGTGAAAGGGGGGAAAGTACATTGTGTGTGTGTGCACGCATGCATGTCTGCATCCACGTAGCTATTATCCCCTTGGGAGCAGAGCAGGATCCAAAGACCAGTACATTCCACCGTGTGGACGGAGCCATGGGAGAGGGGGGGGTTCAAAGAACTCAAGGGGTTACAGTGTAAATCTCAGAGGAATATGCTTAAATCTGGTTCTACTGCATGCTCTCCCATACACACTCCCACAATATCCCTAGGCCGACCAGACTGCACGTTTTTTTCCACTGCCATGAAGGCATCTTATGACTGTAATCTTCTCTCATTGTGTAGTCTCATTTGTTTTGCCTTGGGGAGTGTTCTCAAAATGTTTAATTTTGAATAGGTCCATTTATCTGGCAAATCTCTGTTTCTCTGCCTGCCTCTGAGGCATCGAGTTCACAGTGCAATAGTTGTTCTTCCTTTCCCCCTTGTTTGAGCTCTCATTGTGCACTCCTGAAGGTCGAGTGTCATGTGCAGCAAAATATCCATAAAAATAAAAACTGGAAGACCCCGAAAAAACCCCACAGCTTTCATGGTCATGAGCAACACGTCGCCACATCAGACTCCATCATACATAATGCTTCTGCTTTGAGTGTGGCTTTAAGGTACCCCTACTGTTTTTCCCAGTGTGCTTTGCATGTGCCTTATAATGGACTCTGGGGGAACGTGATGTTTTCATAGCCCCCATGCAGTTCACATAACTGGGAAGCAGGTCACTCCCGGCCTCCCCGGGTCCCCAGTTCACCTCAATCGCCAGATCCCCGTAGCTCTCACAGGGGTTGGGGAAGCATGTAGCCTCACCCAGCATGGGGGGGTTGACATGGCCCCCTGCTTCGTAAGACTTATCCGTCTGAAGTTCGGGAGCCTCCTGTCGAGCCGGTACCTGCTCGGACCGAGGTAGGTAGTCTTGCTGCTGGGTACGGTATTTCTCCAGCCGATGGGAGACGGCGAGCTGAAGGAGCTCGATGAGGTTGAGGAGCAGGGAGATGGTAGCGATCACCTGAGTGTAGATAGTGAAGATGGTCTTCTCCGTGGGTCGAGAGACAAAGCAGTCCACGGTGTGAGGACAAGGGGACCAGGTGCACTCAAACTTCGCTGCAATGAAGAAGCCATCGTAAAGGAACCACAGCCCTAGGATGAAGCCGACCTCTAGGAGGACTTTCGACAGGATGCTGAACGTATATGCACACAGCAACCTTCCTTTCAGTTTGGGAGCTTTGGGTGGAGCCTTCTCAGCTCTTCTACCTCTCCCAAAGCCCCCTTGTTTCTCCTTCTCTTCTGCATTGTCTTTAGTCACATTGTTATTGTCCCTTTCTGTTGCTCTCCCTCCCCTTTTACCTCCACCACCACCTTCCTCTGCCTCCTTCTCATCCTCCTCATTTTCCTTGCCCTTCCCGGCCATTATAGCCACGTATCCAAAGTAGAAGATTGTCGGCGTGGAGACGAAGATGACTTGGAGGACAAAGTAGCGAAAGTGGGAGATGGGGAAGGCTCTGTCGTAGCACACAGCAGTGCAGCCAGGTTGCTGCGTGTTGCAGACAAAGTCAGCTTGCTCGTCATCCCAGGCAGATTCAGCGGCAGTTGCCAGTACCAGCATGCGAAACAGGAAGAGAACGGTAAGCCAGACACGGCCAATGCCTGTCGAATACTCCTGGCCCTCCTCCAGCAGGTGCTCCAGGTAGGACCAGTCAGCTCTGGACATCCTCTGCTCCTAACACGACAGACGGGGGGGGGGGGGGGGGAGAATGAGAGAATGTTTGTGGAACAAAGATTTCAGAATTAGCTCACTTTTAGTGTTTATAAAACTACATATTTTTTTTAGAATACAACTGAGGATGCTAAATGAGGACAGGTTGTTTTTAAGTCACTGTCAGGCTGTTGTTGTTGAAAGGCTTTTCCGTCTGTTTAAATGGTGACAAGTTGTATCGGGTGCCAAGTTTAGTTGTAGTTATGCAGGTCATATTTCGTTTACGGCTCCATTGCTGAACAGATTAGCTTGAATGTGCCACTTAACACCTCATGGATATATTTTACTTCCAAGACTACATTTTTAAAGGTGTTCAGCTGAAGCATACATGTTTAATGATTTCTATAAGCAACAAATGAGCTACATTTCTCCAACCTTTTCAGTATAATGGGGTCTTTTTACTGGGGAACATGCGTATTTGGCTGCCTATTAGTTCTTATTAGTTCTTCCATGAGCTCACAACGGTGTTAGGGTGGGCTCCAACTCCTCATCATCAAGATGTAAAAAAAACAAGGCCCCCCATGCACTAAAATGAACAAAAACAAAAACACATGGCACTAAAGTTAACATTTAATATGAAGGGAAATAGTGCACGCTTTCACAGTAAAACTGGACTAAATGAGAAGCCACTCTCTTTAACACTACACAGCATTATTAAATGCAAACATTTATGAATCAATTAAAGTGAACTCATACTGGGACCGATTTCATAAAAGCATTGCACGCGCACACACACAAACACACACACACATCTGAATAAACATCCTGTTTGTTCAGCAGAGTTGCGGCTGCAGCTGTGACACTTGTCTATTTGTTTAGACTGTTTCTGTTTTTTTGTTAGTTCTTCCCCTCTGAGAAAAGAAAAGGTCCTAATGGTGACAATACCAACTTTCTGACAGGATGAGACAAGACAATGGACGGTCAGGGATTGTGGTCTGATAACTGCACTGATCCACCTCTGACAGCATTGTCTTCAGTGCCACTGTTATCTCTAACAAACATACCCCAGAACACAGATACAGTTCACCACTAAGTATGTCACAGTATACAATACAATAAAACACTTTAACCAAGAAATCCTGTTCAACAGACACTTCAAGTTACAAGGCTTTTCACAGGACGAGTCTATGTTTAAAGTAATTTCCAGCCGTATTATTGTTTATAAAACATATATAATTTAAAAAAAAATACAACAAGGCAGGCTAATTAAATAAATAAGCATAAAACTCAATATTAAGGACCAAAGATTCACTGTTATTTATACTGAAAGACTGTAATTCCCTATAGGAATAAAGAAAGTGATACAATAATAACACAAAAGTAGAATCACCCACCAAAAGTTAATAAAAAAAACAATGCTAGGTACTGTTAGCCCCTTGTAGAATTGTTATTCTGGTTCTTAAGGGAAATAAAACAAATATCAAACACAGTGCTACTCACTCGTTTAGAACTACAGGGACATATGATTATGTCCTTATTACACAATATTAGATATTGTTTCTGTCACATGAACGATCCTAATCTGGTTTAGTTCTTAATTGTAAAAGTGTCTTACCTTTCTCTCGTGAAGCGGGGTTTGTCTCCTTCTTTGGTGTACTGGTCTCAGCACTCGGTGTACTTTTAATGTCCCGTTCCGCTCCCTACAGTAGCGATCTGCGCAGCTCCGGTCGGTTTGTTTAAAAAAGCATCGATGTCATCGGAAAAAGTGGGGAGAACTTTCCCATGCCCGTTTTATTTGGCCGTCCCTCAGGAACTTGGTCCAGGAAATGGGATGGACTCAAAGTAGCTCTCGTTAACTGCGCACGGGGCGTTCGGGTTGTAAACTTTGTTTTAAGGGACCACCCGTTTGGATTAATTACACGGGAGTATCGCCTGACTTCGCTTAGTTAGAGGTTAAAGGCGAAGAAGCTTAAGACGTCGAGGCAGGAATGGACAACACACTGGAAAGAGTGAGGTGGACTTAAATGTCAAGTTATAAAGCAAAATAAACAATAACCCCACAATAAAAAAACTCATAATTACAGCATGACAAGGAACTAATAATATGTCGTTTTTTTCACCAAGTCTCGTATTATCCTCCATGAACATGATTATTTAGCTGTAATATTCTTGCTGCAGCCTGACACACTGTTTCTAATCACATTTCTATCTTTGCCCACGCCGCCTGTTTTATTTGAGATACAATATTTTTGGCCATCTGACTTCCTTTCAGACACGTGTAATTTTCCACGATGCCACGCAATGGCGCCAATCACCTTGTTTCCGAGAGGCACATGACGCCGGTGGAGCCGCACACCAGCCTGGAATGTGAACCTCGTTTTTCTTGAAGTTGAAGAATAAATTCGTTCACCTCCTTAGGTTTACATAATTTGCTTGATTTGGTCAAATGCAAAACGCCCGTTGCAGTATCATAGCTTTGATATTACATACTGCAAACTGAAACTATAGTGTGGAATAATTATCTTAAAATGTGTTCTTTACAATCTATGTAAATTACTACACTTGAGCTATCTACTAATCTGAGTTTTGTCATTTTCTACTTTATTTGACAGTTGTATTAACAACCTCTTACTTAGGTTCAGGCAACAAAACTACTTAGTTATGTTTTGGAAAAACATCATGGTTGGCGTTAAAATAACTATAAAATAAGTGAACATAACATAAACATCACTATTGTCTATTGTGACATCTTAATAACTCAACACCAGCCTTAAACACTGGTCTTCTGGTTAAAGTCCCATGTTTGTTTTACTGTCTTTATACTTCATCATCACACTCCCAGAGCATTTTGTCTGAGCGTCTATTAATGGGACTGATGGGTTTACATTGTACTTACTTGAAGGCCTGATGTGTCTCATATAGGTGCTAAAATGTTCCTTATGCAGCGGTATCGGACACTAAGGGGCGTGACATAGCGTCAGTATTTAATGGATATCCCATTAAGGTTTGTTCTAATTTGATCATGTATGCAACAATTTTACTAGATTGATTTAGTGAATACAAATACTTATAAGTTAGAGCCCTACAGTGAGTGTGTGCGCGCTAGACTTAAGTGATTTAAGTTCATCTTGTGTTTCACTGATGCCATAAATAGGTTTATAATCAATTATGCCTCTTGAAATCATAAAACAACCTACTTAGTGGTATTATAGATTATAGTACTCTTGTCAGTAAGAGCTCTGTTCTCTAATGCAAACAGAAATCTCACCGTGTGTTTGTGCTTAGTGGAAACTGCCACCTGTCCAGTTTTTTTTTTATTCAAGGCCCAGACAGCACACACAGGCTTTGTTTACAGATGTGTGGCTCAACCTAACCCGAAGAAGCCCAATGTGGTTTTATAATTCACATTGGCTGTGCTTACGCGTTGAAAGTCAGTATAGAGATAATGCAAAACCTTGAGGAACAGCTTGGCAATATGCTGGGTAGGAAAAGGCATCATTTCAAAACAATTCTTTCTCCTTAGGAAGATGCAAACAGAGTATGTACTGTAAATAAAGGTTGCTGGAAGACTAGATTTAACATCTAAAATCAATTTTGGCACAAGTGAGGCTGCACACTGCTGTGAAAATTATACCCAATGGCTTTCTCATGTCGGCAAGAAACCCAAACAGTGATTGATCGTGAAGAGCAATTTATTCAAATACATTTACTGCATTATAAAAACACAAATTCACAAACAGCCTTGCTAGTCATAATACCATTCAGCACCATATCACATGCCATAACATAGTCTGAACAAATCCAACTGCACATGGCCACTCCAGTTATCACCTACTGACACCGTACTCAGTCAAATTAAAGTCTTTGCTGAGAAGTCATCTCCTCGCAGTCGTTTCCAATCAGAGTTGCACCATCATACGTGTCAATATGTAGATTATAGAAGCGTTAAGAGGCTGGATTCATCCACTCGGCCGCCGCACAGAGCGGAGCTTTAGAAAAAGGCTGGCAAATTGGCAGTGAATCATCCTGACAGATCAGCGTCTTGCTCTTTCTTTGGTCATTACACCCGTAGATGAATGGCGAGGAGGGAAGTGAGGACAGGCGACAGAGAATAATAGGACTGTTTCCATTCAGGAGATGTGTTATGCCTTCCTGTGCTCGGTGTGTTCCCTCCCGCTGGCACGGTTATCAATGAAAGTAATTGCCAGCTTCAACTTCAATCAATTCCTCACCGCTGGACACACTTTTACATGCACTATTGTATTTTATGACTGATTCAGTCCTAAGTGTAAATCAGTAATGCAGATATGAATGTGGGACAGTAACGCTAATTCAGAGATTGATTGTAACACCAAATTATGAGTTTTGAGGATGAAAAATCTTTGGACATTTTTTGTCATCTGTTAAAGCCTATGATGAAAACATTAGGGCAGGTGTATCGTCATGGGTTGAAATGAAACAAGAAAACAACTAAATCACTGGATCCATTAACCTAACAGCTTAGGTCTCTGTAGAAGAAAGAAAATATATAGTGACAGCCAACACATCACGCCCATGTTTGTGATTTCTTTTCCATAAATAAGTAATGATGGGAGTGTTATATCAACCCTACCTTGCTTTGCTAAATGATTAACTGCAACCACCGCCTGAAGAAAAACAGGCTGGAACACCCGCTCTATTTACTGACACAACATGGTTCTATTGAGTTCAATGTTAACTTTGAGAAAATACTGTGTCAAAACCCATGATATTTTTAGCCCTTTTAGTGCATGGGTTTAGGTACTGTCGGTCTGTCGGTCGGTCAGTCCAACACTTTTATCCAGACTGAAATACCTCAATAAGTATGATGATCCTCTGACTTTCCCGCTAGCACCACTATGAGATTTGCATTTGTGGGTTTGAGTAATAGCTCAACAACTGTTGAAGGTAATGGGTGATGAGCAACGATATATGGTACAAACATTCATGGTTCCCTCATGATGCCATCTCTTCTTGCGCAATCGTCAGGCCAACATTTTTAAATCGTGCAATACTTTAATTTCTGAATAAATACCTGCAAGCCTGATGAATGCCACTGTACCATGTGTTTACTGTTAAGAAGCAAATGTTAGCATGCTACCACGCTTTATTAAAGTGATGGACATGGTAAATAATATGAATGCTAAACATCAGCATGTTTGCGTTGTCAATGTGAGCATGTTAGGCACGGCGGTGCTTTGATCTAACTGCTAAGTACAGCCTCCTGCTAACATGGCTGTTGACTGTCTGGTTCCCGAGAGCATCCTTTATCTTATCGAGGAGAAATAGACATGTAAAGGCTTCATACATAGGAGCACTGCATTTGTAAGGATATACTTTCTCACATGAAATGAAAGAAAGATATTTGACAGATTGTGCATACAGAGAAGTCTCTGGGGAACAGGAACGTTCTGCTGACATGTGATAGCTTGCCAAAAAGTAATCTGCACAACTACGTAAAAATGTCGCTGCTTCTTCTACGAGTACGACATGTGATATACTACTGTGTGTCTGTATTGTGTCGGTGTTTGTTTGCATGGTAAAGCACAAGAATCACTCAGTCTGTCACATTAACAGCACATTTCCAGCATGGACAGTGCTGCGTGTCTATCACTGCTGCATGGTTAGTAAAGATGTCAATGTTACGTGAGCTATGGGCTCCACAGCCTTGCTTGTTTGATGAAATATGCACGACGTTAGCAGAGCTGTAGATCTTTTGACATGAGGAATATATATATAGTATGTGTTGAAGGCTGACTGAGGCTGATGCGAGACGGGTGATATCACACTAACAGGGTCTGTGACATCACCGCTGTGCCAACTAAATACAGCTGCACCCTGCATCTCAGACATGCTATATCAGGTTTCTTCCCTTTTTAGCGAACAATTCAGTGTCACCACTGGCTCCTGATTCTTCAGTAGGATTCCCATTCGTTTATATCGATGCATTGTCTTCTTTTCTCTTCTTTTGTTCCCATTCATGTGTAAGCACAGTGTCATGTCTCACTGTTGAATTCAGGGTTCATATCCAGTCAGAGCGTTGGCTAGATCCCCCCTGTGGTCTACTTACCATGTGTCTCCCAGCCTTATTACGCCTAGGGACCCATCCCTGACAGGCGCTATTGATCTCAGCCAGCTTGGAGCGACGCCATGAAAGTGCACATTGGCAGCTGATGACAGCTTTATTAGAAAAGGAGGACACGGTGGATCAGCAACTTTCCGCACATCAAAAGGCCCAAAGGGGATGATCCATGGATAGAGCTCATCATATTTGTTTGGGGATCAATTGAGTGGCTGTTTTTTTGTTAAGGTGATCAATCCGTTTTTGTCCAGTGGGGATAATGCACTTAGACCACAGGTAAACATGAGCCCTCTATTGGGTATTGGATACTGTGATAGCCCCCTTTTTTGAATGCCATTATTTGTTTGTGAACTCTTCTGATTATCATTTTGAAAAAAAAAAGTTTTTTTTTCCCTACTAATATTTCTGTCAAATCATCTCTTGAATTTTACAGTAATGGAAACCAATAGATGCCTGTTGTAGTTGTTATGATGTGTGGATGTGTATTTGTATATGCTGATGGGATTATAGTGAAAGGTTGTGCAAAATTTAATTTATTTTAGATTACTTTTTCTAAAGATTGATTCTTATGGGAAATAGCTGCTTTGGTAACACTCGGACCGTGGAAGTACGCAAGGGTG